CGTGATCCACCCGTCTCGGCCTCCTAAAGTGCTGGGATTACAGGCTTGAGCCACCGCGCCCGGCCCAAAGAAATATATTTTGGGGTAGAATACTTTGATTTCCTTTTAGGGCCTGTTACCTGTCGTGTGATGCTATACCAGAGTCAGGTTGGAGGTGGTATCTTATTGGTATCAAGGGTCTGTTCTGTCAGTCTCCGGATCTCTATCTTCATGTTAATGCTGGTCACTTGTGCGTGGATTCCAAAGGGAGGAGAGTATAATGGGGCATGCCTAACATCTCCCCCTTCCTGTCACAGTCTGACTAGTTTTTCAGGTTCCAACGGGTTCTCTTGGCTGAGAAGAGAATCTATTCAGTCAGATGGGGAGGTGGCAGGTGGGCTGGGGTGAAGGTGCTGAGAAGTTTTTTTTTGGTTTGCACAACCTGGGGAGACCCTGGAACAGAGGCCCCAGTTAAGCCATACCTCGTCTCCTGATCTATAGAAACTTTGAGATGATATGTCTGTTGTTTTAAGCAGTCAAATTTGTGGTAATACTGTTATGTAGCAATAGACTGTTCCATTTTGTCTTCTGAATATCGATATGAGGTAGGTGTGGTTGTGCCCATTTTACTGATGGGGAAACTGATGCTCAGAGATGTGAGGGGCTTGCTTGAAATGGGCAGCTCCCAGATCCCATGCTGGCTGTCTCAGTGGCAGATGGGGACTGTCAGGCCTCTGAGCCCAAGCTAAGCCATCGCATCCCCTGTGACCTGCACGTATCCAGATGGCCTGAAGTAACTGAAGAATCACAAAAGAAGTGAAAATGGCTTGTTCCTGTCTTAACTGATGACATTCCACCACAAAAGAAGTGAAAATGGCCAGTCCTTGCCTTAACTGATGACATTACCTTGTGAAATTCCTTCTCCTGGCTCATCCTGTCTCAAAAAACTCCCCCACTGAGCACCTTGTGACCCCCTCTCCTGCCCGCCAGAGAACAACCCCCCTTTGACTGTAATTTTCCTTTCCCTACCCAAATCTTATAAAACGGCCCCACCCCTATCTCCCTTCACTGACTCTCTTTTCGTACTCAGTCCGCCTGCACCCAGGTGAAATAAACAACCTTGTTGCTCACACAAAGCCTGTTTGGCGGTCTCTTCACATGGACACGAGTGAAATTTTGGTGCCATGACTCGGATCAGGGGACCTCCCCTGGGAGATCAATCTCCCGTCCTCCTGTTCCTTGCTCTGTGAGAAAGATCCACCTATGGCCTCAGGTCCTCAGACCAACCAGCCCAAGGAACATCACATCAATTTTAAATCAGGTAAGTGGCCTCTTTTTACTCTCTTCTCCAACCTCTCTCACTATCCCTCAACCTCTTTCTCCTTTCTATCTTTGTGCCACACTTCAATCTCTCCCTTCTCTTAATTTCAGTTCCTTTCCTTTTCTCGTAGAGACAGGAGACACATTTTATCCGTGGACCCAAAACTCTGGCGCCGGTCACGGACTTGGGAAGACAGACTTCCCTTGGTGTTTAATCACGCGGGGATGCCTGCCTGATTATTCACCCACATTTCAGAGGTGTCTGGCTACTCAGGGATGCCTGCCTTGGTCCTTCACCCTTAGCGGCAAGTACCGCTGTTCTAGGGGCCAAGAATCCTCCCGACCCCTTCTCTCAGTGTCTCTACTCCTTCTCTGCTTTTCTGGGAAGCAAGAACCCCCCAACCCCTTCTCTCCATGTCTCTACCCCTTCTCCACTTTCCTGGGGGGCAAGAACCCCCTGACCCTTTCTCTCCATGGCTCTACTCTCTCTTTTCTCTGGGCTTGCCTCCTTCACTATGGGCAAGCTTCCTCCCTCCATTACCCCTTCTTCTCCCTTAGCCTGTGTTCTTAAAAACCTAAAACCTCTTCAACTCACACCTGACCTAAAACCTAAATGCCTTATTTTCTTCTGCAATGCTGCTTGACCCCAATACAAACTTGACAGTGGTTCCAAATAGCCAGAAAATGGCACTTTCAATTTTTCCATCCTACAAGATCTAAATAATGCTTGTCATAAAATAGGCAAACGGTCTGAGATGCCTGATGTCCAGGCATTCTTTTACACATCCGTCCCTCCTTAGTCTCTGTTCCCAATGCAACTTGTCCCAAATCCTACTTATTTCCCTCCCACCTGTCCTCTCAGTCCCAACCCCAAGCGTCACTGAGTCTTTCTAATCTTCCTTTTCTACAGACCCATCTGACCTCTCCCCTCCTAGCCAGGCTGAGCTAGTTCCCAATTCTTCCTCAGCCACTGCTCCTCCACCCTATAATCCTTTTATCACCTCCCCTCCTCACACCCAGTCTGGCTTATAATTTCGTTTCGCCACCTGCCCAGCAATTTCCTCTTAAAAAGGTGGTTGGAGCTAAAGGCAGAGTCAAGGTTAATGCTCCTTTTTCTTTATCCGACCTCTCCCAAATCAGTTAGTGTCTAGGTTCTTTTTCATCAAATATGAAAAAGCCAGCCCAGTTCATGGCCTGTTTAGCAGGAACCCTGAGACACTTTACAGCCCTAGACCCTGAAAGGTCAAAAGGCCATCTTATTCTCAATATATATTTCATTTTATTACCTAGTCTGCTCCCGACATTAAATAAAGCTCCAAAAATTAAATTCTGGCCCTCAAACCCCACAACAGGACTTAATTAACTTCCCTTTCAAGGTGTACAATAATAGAGTAGAGGCAGCCAAGTAGCCACATATTTCTGAGTTGCAAATCCTTGCCTCCACTGTGAGAGAAACCCCAGCTGCATCTCCAGCACACAAGAACTTCCAAACACCTAAATCGCAGTGGCCAGGTGCTCCTCCAGGCCCACCTCCCCCAGGAACTTGCTACAGCCCAACTTGAACTGCACCCCAAAAACTTGGATAGAGTCTGAAAACTCACCAACCAAACAAGTAATTACGCTGAACCCCCTTGGGCACTCTCTAATTGGATGTCCTGGGTCCTCCCAATTCTTAGTCCTTTAATACCTGTTTTTCTCCTTCTCTTATTCCGTTTAGTTTTTCAGTTCGCACAAAACCGTATCCAGGCCGTCACCAATCATTCTATATGACAAATGTTTCTTCTAACAACCCCACAACATCACCCCTGACCCCAAATCTCCCTTCAGCTTCATCTCTCCCACTCTAGGTTCCCACACTGCCCCCATCCCGCTCGAGGCAGCCCTGAGAAACATCGCCTATTATCTTTCCATGCCACCCCCCCAAAAATTTTTTTTGCTGCCCCAACACTTCAATACTGTTTTATGTTAGGGACACTCAGAGCAGTCTCAACTCCAAAGAAGAGTTGGACGGTCCCTGTCCTCCTGCAGTGTACCTGCATTCCTTCTTGTTCCAGGAGGTGGCGACTTTTCCTATTTTGGGAACTGAAACTGCCTTTGCAAAAGATATATCAGTGAGAAAATTATAACACTAATCCAACCCCCATCTTGCCCTTCCCTTAGTTATTCCTGGGCTATTGGGCCAAGCTAGCTTTGGAAGACATTTAGGCTACAGTTTAAATAGTAGGTCTTGCCCAAAACTCAACTGCTTTGGTAAAGCTAATAGGAGTGTCAGAGGCGTCTGAACCAGAGCGACTCCATTTTGAATAAGGGCTAGGAAAATGAGGCTGGGACTTGCTGGGGTTCATTCTCAGAAAGTGAGGCATTCCTAGCCTCTACATGTTTATGGTTAAGGGAATAAAACAGACCTAGGCTTGGGAGTGTCTCGATATCTCAATATCTGGAGAACAAAGGCATCCCTAATTTAATTTTGCTTTAAAGATAATAGTATCTTGCAAAATACAGTAATTAAGAAAATTAATCCTTTATCACAAACCCTTGTAGCAGAGCACATCTCCCTGTTTCTAGAGTACAATCTATATCTTTGCTTGATAGCAGCATCATACCTAGGGTAGACGCATTCCTCCTCTTACTTTCAGGAACGCCCTACTCTTGCCTATGCAGTAACTGTCCTTTCACCATTGTACTTCCTTAATAAACTCGCTTTTGCTTTGCACCACGGACTTGCCCTGAATTCTTTCTTGTGTGAGATCCAAGAACCCTCTCTTGGGGTCTCGCTGGATGCGGACTCTTTTCCTGTAACACGAGGCCATCCAGCTGAGGGGGAGAGAAGGCTGAGTCCTGTTAAGGTGCAGACATTATTTCAGAGGCTATAAGATAGGCAACTTCCCCAGTTACTCCTGAAAACAACAACACTACTGATGACTGGCCTTTTGAGATATCTTTCTAGGAGATGATTTGAGTTCAAACTCCACCTCCCATGTGGTGTGGCCAGCCTCATGTCTACTAAACTGTTTCTCTACTACCATGGTCTTTCTTCATACAGTGGGCAGGAAGAACCCCTCAAGTAGTTACGGAACTGGGAAGCCTGATGCCTAATGAGGATGAGAATTAAGACTAATGAACAATAATGATGATAATGACGACAATACTTGTAATTTATATAGAAAGTTCTCACACCTGCAGAGGGCATGGATGCTCAATGGAGTAGACTGCACAGTCCATTGGCCTCTTTGCTTCTCATTCAGCCTCCGTTTCATGCCACCCACAACTCTCATTGATCCACTGCCTCCGAGTAAGTTGTACTGTGCTTTCGCCTCGGCTAACAGCAGATTGGCCATTGCATTTATCATTCAGATCTCCAAGAGCCCGCCTACCCCAGATACCCACTGGCTAGTCCTGACCACTCCAAGTCAGGTTGAACCTCCATCTCACCAGGACTCCGTGCAGCCTGTAGTTCCAGCCTGAAGAGTTTGGGTCACTGTCCTGGGTAATGGGGCAGAATCTGGACACCTCATCCTGCTGCTGTTTCCCCACTCTGATCCCCACCTGGCCCTAGCTACCTCCCTGGGAGCTTGACCCTGGAGGAGACAGTGCTTTTGGTATGGACTGGAAGAGACACTGGGCAGACAAAGGCGCGCTGTCTGCCGAGCCACTGCAGCAGAGGCAGCCCTGCACACTACCTGGCAACCGCGATAGTGTACCTGTGCCTGGAGCTGCAGTGAGCGGTATGGCCGCCGGGTGGCGTTGCTGCCAAAAAGCAAAGCCACGAATTACCTGGTCAGGTGGGCAGTCGGGCAGGGCCTGTGGGTTCTGAAATGGAGGCTTCTTCCTCATTGCATTTTGTTCTCTCCACTATTTGGGTTTAGAAAACAAATCCTTTTGTACCATTATCATTTTGTAAACTGCACATACTCCATTATACAGATCCTGTGTGTGTACCAAATCTTTCATAACAAGACAGGGGAAAATGAAGCCGGTGACAATGGCTGAGTGTCTAGGGAAACTTCTTCATCCTCGAGTTTTCTCCTCTCTGAATTTTAACTTCTTTTAACCTCTTCTGAGGTTTAAAGAAAATGCTCAGTGTTGTATTCAAGTCAAGTATAGATTAAAGGTTTGTCTAGAACTGAAAAAAAGAAAAAAATTCCAAATTCTGGTTACTATTGTGGACAAGCCAATTACCCCCATATTTAACAACATCCCTTCTAGTTCACTCACATTTTGTGGGTGGGGAATTTGGGAAGTGGTCGGCTGGACAGGGCTTGCTTGGGGTCTCTATGTAGCTGCAGTCAGATGGTGGCCAGGGCTATACTACAGTCACCTGAAGCCTTGGCTGTGATGATGTCCGAAATGGCTCACTCTGTGACTTGCTTCTGATGTTGGTTGCTGCCTGGGAGCTCAGTGGGGGCGTGAGGTGCCTCCATGTGGCCTCTCCAGCATAGCTGTCTCAGGATGAATGCACTTCTTACTTGGCAGCTAAATGAAGTTTAAGTGTGGTAGGCAGAATAATATGCCGTCTCCTCCTGCTCCAAAGACGGTCCCCTCAGAATCCATTGAACCTGAGACTATATTACATTGCATGGCAAAAGGGACTTTACAGATGTAGTTACTTAAGAATCTTGAGATGAGGAGACCATCCTGGATTATCCAGGTTAGACCCAATGTAATCACAAGGGTTCTTATAAGCGAGAAGCAGAAGGATCAGAGTCAGAGGTGATGTAGTGAGGGAAGCAGAAGTCGGAGTGATGTGAGGAAGGATCTATGAGCTGAGGAACGCAGGTGGCCTCTAAAAACTGGAAAAGGCAAAGACATAGATTGTACTCTAGAAACTGCAGAAAAGGCCTGGCACCGCCTGCCATTTTAGCTATTTTCGAGTATATGATTCAGTGGCATTCACTACATTCATAGTGTTGTGTAAAACTGGATATCCACGTGTAAAAGAATGGAGCTCCATTACACTCTAAACACAAATTAGAACAGATCCCTCATGTCTTTTTATAACTTCCAGTTTTGGGAAGTTTCTGTACTATCTAATTTTTAAAAATTAGCTTCGCATGGTGAGGGGCACCTGTGGTCCCAGCTACTTGGGAGGCTGAGGTGGGAGGATTGCTTGATCCCCGGAGTTAGAGGCTACAATGAGCTATGATCATGCCACTGCACTCCAGCCTAGGTGACAGTAGACACTGTCTCTTAAAAAATTTTTTTGGAGAGAAAAAAAAAAAAGACAGGCTGTTCCTAAGGTGCCTGGGAACCCCAGCCCTCACAGCCTTCTTCATTTAGCGTCTTGCTTCCATGTCTCTGGTTCCATCCCATGTGGTGATGCTACACACGAAACCCGTCTCCTCCTTCATTTCCACAAGAGACCCCATTGCACACAGCCACTGGAGGTAAATAAATAAGCTTTAATGAGATTTTGGGCGCTGGAGAAAGACAAGGAGCTTATGTGCCACCAAAGCAACCAATGTTCCTTTGTCTCCTCAACTCTGTGGGGTCCCACTGGCCTCATCACCCCTTGAACCCTTTTGCCACTGCCATCCTGCTGGTTCGTATCTCTTCCCCACACTTCTCTGTTCCCCACTCTTCCATCTCTGTCCACAGCAGATCCTCCGTCCCGTTTGTTTTCTCTTGCAGAGCAGCTCAGGCTTTGCATTCTCATTCAGCATCTTGGCCCAAGATCTTTTCTCCCTCAAGGTATTTTCCCAAAGTTTTCTTTATAAGAGGAATTCTGGTGTCTGCCCTGAAGATCATAGACCTTTTTAAAGTAAACTTGTCAGTTGCATCTGAGCAGCTCGGCTTCCTGGGTCTTGGGTCGCATCCATCTTGGTCCTACAGGAGCGTGTCCTGAGCAACTGCAGTGCCGCCTCCCCCTGCATCCCCTCTCCCTGGAGCTGGAAATAGCGTTTGCTTCTTTTGTGGGTTATTTCCTGCCAGTCCCAGCTTGCTGGCTGCAGATGCTGGCTGAAAGTGGCTGCAGCTGACTACCTTCTTCAAGTTCACGTCCAGTAGTTGTCTCTGCTCCTAGGACATGCCCCAGGCAGCTGCTTGCGGCCTGAGTTGCAGCCTCTGGTGACCAGGGTCAGTGGCTGTTTCTTGTAACCACAGAGATCTGACGGATACAGAGAATTGGAAGCTCAAGGCCAGAGGCCAAATTTTTACCAAAATTTTCTAGTGGTCCACACCCTTCTGTGTGGTCTGCTATGCAGTAGAGGCTTAACCTTGCCCAAACAAAGATGAGGCCCTTTATCGTCAGCTCCTAGGCATTCATCTCCAAGTCCTTGGAATATCCTGCTGGTGGCTGATCTGAGAGTCTTGGGCCACTCTGGGCCACATCATAAATGATGTGACTTATGGTGGGGGTCTTGGGCCACATGGTATTGGCTTGATGTATGAGGTCAGTCATGTGGGTGGTGAGCTGCTTAATTCAGCACTTTGGGAGGCCAAGGCAGAAGTATCACTTGAAGCCAAGAGTTCAAGACCAGCCTGGGCAACACAGGGAGACCTCATCTCTACAAATAATAAAAAGATTGGCCAGACATGGTGGCACATACCTGTAGTCGTAGCTACTCAGGAGGCTGAGGTGGGAGGATGACTTGGAGTTGAGAAGTCAAGGCTGCAATGAGCTGTGATCTCACCGCTGCACTCCAGTGTGCCAACAGAGCCAGACCCTGTCTCAAGACAAACAAAAAACTCTGGACACGAAGATCTTGAGTGAGCTGCTCTGGTTGGCAGTACTTGCACGTCGTCACGTGTGTTGCTGTGAGAATCAGGTGCTGCCTCTATGGCTCCACTGGGAGAGGGCAGCTGGAAGCCGGCGCCTCATCTCTCCTGGAACGTGGGCTGTGCACCTCCTCCCTGTGCTCATCTTAATCCCTATCTTTTTACTGTAACAAGCTGTAACTGTGAGCCTAACAGCTTTCCTGAGTCTAGTGAGTCCTTCTAGCAAATGAACAGAGGGTGGTCTTGGAGACCTCTGAACTTGCACCTGCCCCCCCTCGTTTTGAGGTCTCGCACAGGGAGGCAGGCTGGTCTCTTTGGAGGGGGTCTTCATCCATTGGGGCGGGGTCCAACTCCGGAGGCCCATGTCCTTGCCAGCTCCAGTCTCTCTCCCTGCTCAGTCCCGACGGTGTCACCTTGTGCCCTCTGTCTGTGGATCCTGGCAAAAGCTGGCCTCTCTGCTCACATCTGAATAGGAGATATACTAGAAGAGGGTTTTCATACTTTAGCCTCGGGGCTCTTTTGAACAAAATCAAACATCTTCCCACCGAAGCCCAATGTGCAAAGAACGGCAGGCCCATCCCCTCCCCTCTCCCTGGAAGCCAGGGCAGTGCTTCTCAAGGTGTGGCCACGGGTGGAACTGAGGCGGGGTGGGGGGGAGGGTGAATATTAAAATGCAGATTCCCTGGCCCTATCACAGACCAGACTGTCTGGGGCTGCGTCTTAGCAAACTCTACAGTGGATTCTGCCCAGCAGGAAGGGTTGGGAAATGCTGCTTGGGGCACCAGGAGAAAAGACCCAGGCTCCTGCGGGCATCTGGAAACGTCTGGTCTGTAGTCTGTACAGACCCCACACCCTCCTTAGCTCCAACACTGCACTTACCCCATTAGCCGAGGCGCTGGCATGCTCCTTACCTGGGGAAATAGGAGGGGAAGTCGTCAGGAAGGCATAATGCTGGGAAGCATGGGAAGAAGACATGCCTGGGTGTCAGGGCCCTGAAAATGTCAAGTTCTGCCTCTGTTATTACCTGGGGGCGCCATTTCCCTTAATGGTATACACGTGTGAGACAGGGATGGCGGGGGTGCTCTGTAAGGATCTGGTCATCCAGTTATTCACTTGGTTATTAAATATCCATAAATATCAAGCCTGGGCTCTAGAACCAGACGGATGGGTTCAAATTCCATCTCTGTCCTTTAGGAGCTGTGTGAACTTGGACAAGTGACTTAACCTCTCTGTGTTTCAGTTTCCTGGACTATTCAACAGGGGTGTATTTAGCAAATAGTAGTTATTATTCAGCAAATGGTAAATGTCTATTTTGTGCCAGGTACATTCTAAGTGCTGGGGACATAGCTGTGAACAAAAGAGATAAAAATGCCTGTTCTTGGGCAGGCGTGGTGGCTCACGCCTGTAATTCCAGCACTCTGGGAGGCTGAGGTGGGCAGATTGCTGGAGTCTAGGAGTTTGAGACCAGCTTGGGCAACACAGCGAAACTCCATCTCTACTAAAAATATAAAAAATTAGCCAGGCATGGGAGCGCATGCCTATAATCCCAGCTACTCGAGAGGCTGAGGTGGGAGAATCACCTGAGCCTGGGAGGTTGAGGCTGCAGTGAGCCAAGATCACACAACTGCACTACTCCAGTCCGGGCAACAGAGTGAGATCTTGTCTCAGAAAAAAAAAAAAAAAAAAAGGCCTGCTCTTGTGCAGTTTATGTTAATAATAACAATAATAGTAATAATAGCAATAACAATCACAGTGAATACATATCCAGTATGTGGCTTACAATGTGGCAACTGCTGTGTTAAGTGTTTTACTGTATTATGAGGTACCATCACCCCATTTTACAGATGAGGAAACTGAGTCATACAGATTAAGCTATTTGCCTATGGTGACATCACTAATCAAGCAGTAGCTTGAGCGCCCAGATACAGGCAGTCTGGCTCTGGAGTTGACACATTGAATCACTCAGTAAACACTTCCTCGAGTGCCTCTTTTATGCCCAGCCCAGTGGTAGGTGGTCCTGGGGACACAGTCATGACAGTGACAGCCTCAGGTCTGCTCTCTTGGGGCTCACAGTCCACTGGGGAAGACAAACAAGTCCCCCACAGTGATGACCCAGAATGGGCAAGGCTGGGGTGGGAGAGCCTAGTGGATGCTTGGCCCATGCTTGGGGGTCAGGGAGGGCTTCCTGGAAGAGACAGCATCTGTCCGGGATGTGAGGCAGCAGCTTTGTTTAGTGGTTGAGGGAAAAGCTTGGTAGTCAAAGATCTGGCTTCTTCTCTCCATCAACCACTTTCCAGCTGTTTGACCATTGGCAGGTAACTTCATCTGTCAAGCAAATATTTCCTCCTCTGTAAAATGGGGCTCATGGGAGAACCACTTTGCTGGGTGCTTGTGAGCATTCAAGGAGATTGTACAGGTCAGGTGTGGTGGCTCACGCCTGTAATCCCAGCACGTTGGGAGGCTGAGGCAGGTGGATCACATGAGGCCAGGAGTTCAAGACCAGCCTGGCCAACATGGCAAAACCCCATCTCTCCTAAAAATACAAAAATTATCTCTGCACAGTGGTGCGTGCCTGTAATCCCAGCTACTCGGGAGGCTGAGGCATGAGAATCGCTTGAACCTGGGAGGTGGAGGCTACAGTGAGCTGAGATCGCACCACTGCACTCCAGCCTGGGCGACAGAGTGAGAGCCTGTCTCAAAAATAAATAAATAATAAAAAAATTAGTAATTAAAATCGAGGGGGTTATACACACAAAGTGGCACGTAGCCGGTGCTCAGCAAAGTATCGCTCCTTTGATTACAGAATTAGCTGGTGCACTTCTCCAGAAGGAGCCATGGGAGGGTGCTCCAGGCAGGGGAAGGGCCTGTGCAAATCTCGAGGTGTGACAGCATCAGACCCTTTTAGAGTTGAGGATCAGAGGTGCCAGTTCCTGCCAACTTCTCCTAGGAGTCACTCCTGAACAAGGCAGATGGAGTAAGGCTGAGGGGTTAGGCATTATTTCACCCTCTATCCATCTGGCAGGGACTCCCACATCACTTGTATTAAATTCCAAAATCCCTACCATGGCCTTAAGGCCCTATATGCTCTTCTCCCACTCTGTAAATAATATTTGTAAACGTAATCAATGAACCAGTGAACGAGACTCCCTGGCTCTGTACCCTCATCGGTCAAATGGGGGAAACCTCATGGCAGTGGGGTGAGGATTCAGTGAGAGGCACATGGGAAGGACTCAGCACAGAGTCCAGCACATAGTAGGTGCTCAATTATGGCAGCTCTGGTGATGCTCACTCGAAGAAGACAGATGATGGTGCCAAAGGAACTCACAGGAATATCTGGACTGATAGAAATAAAGTCCGATCCCCAGGAGGGTCAGAAGAATCACGATTCCCAGAATCAGGAAGATGATGATGTTACTGGACATGCCTGAGGGCTCACTGGGAGGTCGCTCTGAAAGAGAAGGAAACAGGTATTTAGGTAAGAAAACTCTTGGGGTTTATCCCTCATTCTTGAAATGGCATCTCGAATTTCCTTGGGGAGCCGCCACTCCACCTGCCTCAGTCTATTTAATTCAGGTGGACTGGATCCCACCCTCTGGTTCCCAGAATGGGACTTTGACACAGGCCTGGCCAATCAGAACATTTCATTCTCCCTGGCTGCTATGATTGGTTCATAGGTGGGCTGTGGCCTAAGCTGGGCCAGTGAGAGCCAGCCCTGGGACTTTGGCTACAGTTATTGAAAGTGGTGTCTTTTTTCCTCCTGCTATTGCTATTCTGATAGGATGTGAGCCTGTTGCTGCTGAGGGCCATCTTGCTTCAAAGGCTGCCTGAGAATAAAGCCAGTATAACAAAAAGCAGAGACAAGGGACGTATAAAACAAAAGTTCCTAGGTTACATGGTTGGAGCCCCTGGGTCTAACCATAAACTGAAGGTGAATTTTCAATAAAGTCCTGTGTTGTTTGTTTGCTTAGACTACTTTGAGTTGTGTTTCTGTAAATTGCAATTGATAGAGGTCTGCCTGATACATTTGGAAAGGCCTGAGTCTCTGAGAGAGAGGGATTCCACATCTATCCCAACCTGTGTGTGTGGAGGGAGTGTATACAGGCAGCTGAACAACGGTACCAGTGGTATAGGTATGGAGTTAACAGGGGAGTACAACTGGCCCCACTGGTCCTTTTGTGAGAAGGCTTAGGAAAAGGATGGGAGCCAGAGAGCACTGGAGAGGGAACCCTGCCTCGACCTCTTCCTTTGGTCCCTGTTCTCCCGACCCAGGGAGTTCCTCACCTTTGACCTGGACGGTCAGTTCTGCCTGGCGAGCTCCTAGGGCATTGGTGACATTGCAGATGAAAGTTGTGTTGATTGGTTTATCCACAGGACGGATCAGGAGTTGGGCGCCCTGGGCCACAGCGAAGGGTGGCAGGGGACCCATGGTCCTGGGAGCGACAGAAAGGTGAGGAGGTGGCCTCTGCTGCAGTTCCGGAGTGACAGTGATTGAGGACTCACTGTGTGCCAGAAACCCTCACGCCCTCTATGGCATAAGCGGAGAGCAACTCTGGAGGCCCCCAACTCTTCCCTTCTTCTCACGCCCACACCCAACCCATTAGCCAATCCTGTCGGCCCCGCCTTAAGATCTACCCAGAATCCCACCACTTCTCAGGGCTTCCAGGGCCACCTCCCTGCTCTGGCGCGGTGCATCCGGGCCCCCAGCAGCCGCCTCCACACTGGGCTCTGTTTCTGCCCTCGCCCCCTCATCTTTTCCCCACATGGCCACCAGAGGTCGCCTGTGAACACTAAGTCAGTTCCCATCCCTCAGCTCAGCATCCTCTGGTGGCTCAGCCTGGCTCAGAGTTAAGCAGACGTCTTCTCCTGTCACAGGCCCCACATGATCTGGTCCCTGCTACCTCTGCCCATGTTTTCCATTACTTTCCGCTTTGCTCCCGCCTCTGCATCCACAGTGGCCTCCTTGTTGGTCCTCAAACTCTCCAGTTAGGTGTCCAGTGTGTTTGCTTATGCAGGGACTGATGGATAGAAACGGGTTTGCCCATGCTGTTCCCTCTGCCCGAATGCTTTCCCCCCAGGTACCCGCAGAGCTCACCCTCATCTCCTTCAGGCCTCTGCTGGGATGTCACCTTAGTAACACCTCATTTGGCCACCCTATTTCAACTGCGATGATCACCCTTCCCATCCCCTTCTCTCTTTTCTTATTTCCTTTTTTTTTGAGACAGGGTCTCACTCTGTCACCCAGGCTGGAGTGCAATGACGCTATTTTGGCTCACTGCAACCTCCATCTTCTGGGTGCACAGAATCTCCCCACCTCAGCCTCCTGAGTAGGTGGGACTACAGGTGCGTGCCACCATACCCAGCCAATTTTTGTATGTTTTTTGGTAGAGATGGGGTTTTGCCATGTTGGCCAGGCTGGTCTCAAACTCCTAGCCTTGAACTCCTAGCCTCAAGTGATCCTCCCATCTCTGCCTCCCAAACTGCTGGGATTACAGGCATGAGCCACGGCACCCAGTCCCATTCCCTTCTCTGCTTTATCTTTTCCACGGTATTTATCACCATTGCGCACACACTACACACCTCATGACTTCATCTTGCTTCTTGTTTCTTTCACCATTAGAATGGAAGCTCCATATGGGGAAGAAATTTGGTCTGTTTTATTGACCCGCGTACGTCGGTTAGTTGCACCTGGTTACTTACTACAGTAAGTAGTCAAGGAACACTGGTTTAATGAACAGAGGTGGAGGAGATGGAAGCATCGGGCTTTGGGCACTCTGCAGAGCTGGGATGCAAACGCAGCCATCTGGATCAAGAGCCTGAATTGTGGCACTTTGAGGCAGGACAGTAAAGGCACCATCACACCAATCGAAACCTTTGACCAGCAATTCCTTCCACTGACAACTGCTGACAAGTGACCACTGGGGATGGTCACCACCATGGCGTTTGCAGAGTTGAAAATGGAAAATGACATCTGTGTCCTCTACTGGGGACTGGTTAAATAACTGATGTCATCCACATATGTTGGAATCCCTTCCCTGCCCTTTGGGAGGCCCAGGCGAGAGGATTGCTTGAGTACAGGAGTTCAAGACCAGCCTGGGCAACATAGTGAGATCCTGTCTCTATTCTTAAAATTGTGTGTGTGTTTTTTTTTTTTTTATAAAGTGATGGAATCCCAGCAACATTGAAAAAGGGGCCAGGTTAGCCAGGCGTGGTGGTGTGTGCCTGTAGTCCCAGCTATCTGGGAGGCTGAAGCTGGAGGATCACTTGAGCCCAGGAGTTCAAGGCTGCAGTGAGCTGTGATTGTGTCACTGCATTCCAGCCTGAGCAACAGAGTAAGGCCCTGTGTGAAAAAAAAAAAAAAAAAAAAAAAAAAAGGCAGGGGAGCTGGGGGTGCTCTGAAGTGCATAATATGATTGATGGATGAATAGAGGGACCGAAGGAATCACAGAAACATGATAAAGCGAGCACAGTAAAATGTTAGTGGGAGAATCCACATGGTGGAATCTTAGGTGCTCACTGGAAAATTCCTGACTTTTCGGTATGTTTGACAGTCTTCTTAATACAACGTGGGGGAAAATGGAGTGTGGATCTATGTGCTTTGACATGGAAAGGTATTCACAAGATAAAGGAAAAGTTTCAAAATTATATGTATAGCATAATTCCAGTCTTAGTTTAGAAACAGAGAGAAAGAAGATAGAAGGATGTATAATAAGGGGTCACTGGTTATTTCTGGAGGTGGCTGGGTACACTTGACTATAGGTGCCACTTTCTTCTTTTTGCTCATAACTAAATTGTTTGATATTTCTGCAGTGGATACAAGTTAGTTTTGTAATAAGGAAAAAGACATAAGGCTGGGCGAGGTGGCTCACACCTGCAATCCCAGCACTTTGGGAGGCTGAGGTGGGTTGATTGCTTGAGCCCAGGAGTTGGAGACCAGTCTGGGCAATGTGGCGAAACCCTGTCTCTGCAAAAAAATACAAGAAAATTAGCTGAGTGTGGTAGTGTGTGCCTGTAGTCCCAGCTACTGAGGAGGCTGAGGCGGAAGGATCACCTGAGCCCAGGGAGGTCCAGGCTGCAGTGAGCTATGATCACACCGCTGCACTCCAGCCTCGGCGACAGAGTCTCTTCTTAAAAAAAAAAAGGTGGTTCAGTAAAATTATGTAAATTATGTAAAATTATGTATTATAAAATTTTGTATTATCTCTTGCCTTTCTCTTACCCTGCTCTTGACCCCAGCTTCAGTATGAATCTGGAGAAATCTTATTGCTGTGAGCCTCAACTTTCTCATCTAGACAATGGGGATAGTACTTGCTCCGTCCAGAGATAACCAAGTAGGTTATACAAGGTGACGGTGAGGTGGTTACAGTCGAGAGTTGGGGTGTCTAATCTTCTGGCTTCCCTGGGCCACACTGGAAGAAGAAGAACTCTCTTGGGCCATACATAAAATACACTAACACTAATGATAGCTGATGAGCTAAAAAAAATTTGCAAAAAAAAAAATCTCATAATGTTTTAAGAAAGTTTACAAATTATGTGGCCTGCAGGTTAGACAAGCTTGGCCAAGAGGCGGAGGACCAGCTTTGGAGCCAGGGCTGATTCAAGGGCCGCTTCTGCCCTCTCATGGCTGGTCTTTAACCTGGGCATGACAACAGCTGCTGACTCTGCACAGCATGGGGTCACGTGGGATTGGGGGAAGTACCGGGCACAGAGCAGGCACACCCCAAGAGCAGGTGCATCCACCAGCCAGGATTAAACCACCTGCTAAACGCCTCAACTGGAAAACAGAGATGCCCCCCACTGGGCATCTCTTCCCTCCTCTTTTTTTCTTTTCTGAATCCCCCTGCTCTCTTAGACCAGGATTCCAGGCCCCCAGCCTCTCCTCCCTCAGACCCAGGGGTCCAGGCCCAGCCCCTCCTCCCTCAGTCCCAGGAGTCCAGGCCCCCAGCCCCTCCTCCCTGAGACCCAGGACTCACGTGCTCCAGTTGTAGCCTGTGGGCTCTGGGTTGCTGCGAGCGTCGCAGGTCAGGGTGGCCTCATTCTGGCTGAGGTACCAGTTGTTATCATAGCCAGAGAAGGATACCTCTGGGGGGTCTGCAGGAAATGGACACAGAGGTTCAGAGACAGGGAGACTTTGCGGGGCCAAGGGCTACGTGGGATTCACGTCACTGCAGGAAAAGGCCTGGGGATATTTGGAAAACAGCAGGAGCTGGAGAGGCCTAGGAGGACTCTAGGGAGATGGGGTGCCGCAGAGAGCAGAAGCCTGGGAGTCTGTGGTCAATGGGCACATGGAGAGGGCTTCTGAGGACCTGCTTTTCTCCACTAGCTTTCCTGGGTAGCCCGGACCAGGCATGTCTTGGGTGTCCTGCAGGAAAAGGCCTCCTCCTTTTCTCACTCATAGGCAATGACCACTCATAACACACGGCAGTGTATTCAAGGCTCCGACAAGTCCTGCGGGAAAGAGTCCTGGATAACCCTGCTCTAGGCTGCTGCTCAGCCATCCCAGATGTGATTTCAATGTCCTCAGGGGGCAGGCCAATGGGACAGGGTTTTTTGGGGGGTGAGGGGTAGGAGTCAGTGTAGCTCTCCTCCTCGCTCAGACCCAGTGACAATGTTGAGGGACTCCAGTATAGACAGTACCTGAGGGAATCTGTGTACCACTTGCCTGGCGGGGGAGTAGGCAGTATAGACAACGATGGGAGGAACAGTATGAATGATGCCTAGAAGAGCTTGTGTGGATATTACTGATGGGCTCAGTGTAGACAGGGTGTTGGAATATTACAGTAGATGCTATATTGTCAGGCCAGTGTTGAAATGTTGTGGTGGGGGTGAGATCACCCCCACATATAGAGTGTGTCCCCGGGAGCTGGTGAAATTAAGACAGGCCCTGTGTGTGTGTGTGTGTGTAGACAGTATTTGGATGAGCCAGTGTAGATGATGTGGGAGCTTAGTCTGGCTGTCCAATGTGGCACTTACTGGCCACATGTGACTACTGAGCTCTCGAAATATGGCCAGGCCGAAATACACACCAAATTTCAAAGGCTTTACTAGGGCAAAATAAATGGGAAAGATCTCAAGAATAATTTTAAAAAATTACAAGTTGAAATAACATTTTGGGTATATTGGGGTACATAAAGGCAATTATTAAAATTAACTTTGGCCAGGCACAGTGGCTCATGCCTGTAATCCCAGTACCTTGGAGGGTTGAGGCAGGAGGATCACTTGAGCCCAGGAGTTCGAGACCAGCCTGGGCAACATAGGGATATCCTGTCTCTAAAAAAAAATTTAAAAAGGCCAGGTGTGGTGGCTCACATCTGTAATCCCAGCACTTTGGGAGGCCAAGGTATGTGGATCATGAGGTCAGGAGTTTGAGACCAGCCTGGCCAACATGGTGAAACCCCGTCTCTACTACAAATACAAAAATTAGCCAGGTACTGTAGCCAGGGCCTGTAATCCAAGCTACTCGGGAGGCTGAGGCAGGAGAATCACTTGAACCTGAGAGGCAGAGGCTGCAGTGAGCTGATATCACGCCACTGCACTCTAGCATGGGTGACAGAGCAAGACTCCATCATACACACACACAAAAAAAATTAGCTGGGCATGGTGTTACACGCCTGTAGGCCCAGCTACTTAGCAGACTGAGGCTGAGGTGGGAGGATCACTTAAGCCCAGGAGGTTGAGGCTGCAGTGAGCTGTGCCACCACACTCCAGTCTGGGTGACAGAGTACCCGTCTCAAATAAATAAATAGATAAATAAATAAACAAATAAATTTCATCTCTTTTTTTTTTCTTTTTTTATTTTTGAGATGGAGTCTTGCTCTGTTGCCCAGGCTGGAGTGCAATGGCACGATCTCGCTCACTGCAACCTCTGCCTCCCAGGTTCAAGTGATTCTCCTGCCTCAGCCTGGCCAGTAGCTGGGATCACAGATACCTGTCACCATACCTGGCTAATTTTTGCATTTTTTAGTAAAGACAGAGTTTTACCACATTGGTCAGGCTGGTCTTGAATGTCTGACCTCAGGTGAGCCACCTGCCTCAACCTCCCATAGTGCTGGCGTGAGCCACCGTGCCTGGCCTCTTTCTTTTAATTTTGTTAATGGGGTGGCTGCTGGAGAATTTAAAATCCTATATGCAGCTTGCGTGCTATTTCTGTTAGACAGCACTGGTTAGAGAGTCCCTGGGGCTGTCGGTGGAGATAAACGTGTGGGTGTCAATGTCGATGACGCTGTGAGGGAGCTGCTGGAGGTAACGCTGTGCAGGAGAACCAGGACAGATGCTGTCAGGGGCCGTGCAGACAGAACACAAGGAGGCCAGTGTGGTGATGTGGGGCGAGACTCCATAGCCTGTAAGTGAGCCAGTGTAGACAACATTGGGCAGAGGAGCATGGGGACTACACTGGGGGACTCTGCAGACACTGCTGAGGGGAGCCAGCACAAACAATGTGGGAAGATCAGTGCAGCCAGCACCCGGCAGAGATGGTCGATCGTGGCTCAGGGGAACTGGTCGATACAATGTGGGAGGTGAATGCAGACAGTTCTCCAGGGAGTCAGTGTAGACAGTGTCGAGGGGCACTTTAGAGAGTGCCCAGGAGAACCAGTGTAGAAAAAGTGGGGTGTTTATATAGACAGTGGTCATAGGAGCCAGTGTAGACACCATGGGACACAGTGAAAACACCCCACAGCTGATGGCCGAAATAGCTGGTATAGACAATGGGGATGGCGCTGTCTGTGGCCCAGAAGAGCCAGTGTAGACAATGGTAAGGCAGTGAAGAAAATGGACAAGAGGCTAGATGCAGTGGCTCATGCCTGTAATCTCAGCACTTCGGGAGACTGGGGTGGGAGGATCACTTGAGCCTAGGAGTTTGAGACCAGCCTGGGCAACATAGCAAAACTCTCTCTACAAAAAATTGTAAAATTAGCTGGGCATGGTGGCTGCACCTGTAGTCCCAGTTACTTGGGAGGCTGAGGGAGGAGGATCGCTTGAGCCTGGAAGGTTGAGGCTATAGGAGCCATGATCATGCCCCTACACTCCAGCCCGATTGACAGAGCGAGAACCTGTCCAAAGGAAAAAAAAAAAAAAAAAAGGCCAGGCACGGTGGCTCATGCCTGTAATTCCAGCACTTTGGGAGGCCAAGGCAGGCAGATCACCTGAGGTCAGGAGTTTGAGAACAGCCTGGCCAACATGGTGAAACCCTGTCTACTAAAAATACAAAAATTAGCCAGGTGTGGTGGCATGCACCTGTAATCCCAGCTATTTGGGAGGCTGAGGTAGGAGAACCACCTGAACTTGGGAGGCAGAGGTTACAGTAGGCTGGGACTGTGCCACTGTACTTCAGCCTGGGTGACAGAGTGAGACCTTATTTCAAAAAAAAAATAGAAAGAAAAAAAGAAAGAAATGGACAAGGGAGTGGGTGTGTAGACAAGAAGGGAGGCAGTGCTGATTGTGGCCAGGAGAACCAGTGTAGCAATGTGGGGAAGGTCATTGTGGATAGTTGCCTGGGGAAGCAGGTGTAGGCAGTTTGGGGGCAGTGTAGACTGTGCTCAAGGGAGTCAACAGAGTGTGGGGTATCCGTGCAGACAGTGGCTAGAAGAGCCAGGGCAGAAAATCTGGGTACCAGCATTGACTATGGCCCAAGTAAACTGGTGTAGGCAATAGGGACAGTGTTGTTTATGGCCCAGGGGAGCTGGTGCAGACAATGGAGGTGGGTCGTGTAGACAGGAGTCAGGGGAGCCAGTGCAGATGAAGGAAGCAATGCCTACAGTGCCTTGGGGAGTCAGTGTAGACAGTGGTGGGGGCAGCCTGGCAGGGGATCTTGCCGTCACTGACTCGGGCACACTCACAGTAGACGGTGAGGTTCACAGTCAGCAGCTGAGGCTTCTCAAAGCTCTCGTGCTCCACCTTGCAGGTCACACTCTTGCCGTCCACCTGGCTTGAGGGCACCAAAATCCAGAGGCTGGTGACAGTGACTGTGCCAGACAGGAACCCTGGCGCCTGGCTGGTATTGGGCATCCCGCCCAGGTCTGAGTGCCAGGTGATGTGGGCCGGCGGGCGACCCCCTGTGGAGACGCAGCGGGCCACGGGCACCGGCTTTCCAGTGAGCTGGACCTTCTGAACCTCAGCTGTGTTCTGTGGCTTGGCTGGGAAGAGGAACAAAAGCAACAGGTCATTCAATGAACCCCTCCATGGTAGAAGGAGGCATTCATTAAGGGTACAGGATGGCATGGTGGCTGGGCGGGGTGGCTCATGCCTATAATCCCAGAACTTTGGGAGGCTGAGGTTGGTGGATCACCTGAGGTCAGGCGTTCGAGACCAGCCTGGCCAACACAGGGAAACTGTCTCTACTAAAAATGAGCCAGGGTGTGGTGGCACACACCAGTAATCCCAGTTACTTGGGAGGCTGAGGCCGGAGAACTGCTTGAACTTGAGAGGTGGAGGTTGCAGTGAGCCGAGATTGTGTCACTGCTCTCCAGCCTGGGCAACAGAGTGAGATTCTGTCTCAAAAAAAGAAAAAGAAAAAAAAAAGGATACAGGATGGCATGGTTTAAACCCCTGCTGTGTCCCTGAGCAGCTGGGTGGTCTTGGGCAAGTCTGTGCCTCAGTTTCCTTGTCTGTCGACGGGGTAATGATGACATCATAGGCAATAAGAATATGCAGGTGAAGCTGTCAGAATGGCACATAGTAAGTGTTCCATAAATACTGTTTGCTGGAAAGTGCTGGGGCCCAGCAGTGACCAAAATAGCCCTGGTTCTGCCCTCATGGGTACAGTCCAAGGGGGCAGACAGACTCTTTCCTAGGCAGTGATGACTCGGAGAGGGCAAGGCTGGGAAGGGAAAACCCAAAGGGGGTTATCCTAGTCTGGGGCTCAGTGGACGAGAGGAAGCCTGAGCCCTGAAGTTGAGAAGGGAAGTGACTTGCCCACGGTGACACAGCTGTAAGCAGCAGAGCTAGGCTTTCACATAAGGTCTGTCTGACTCAAAACCACCTTAACCATCTCTTAATCATCATCCTGGTGATTCCCAAACCTGGAACTTGCTTCCCCATCATTACCTGTATTATTTACCGAAGATTTCTCCTTAACTTGACTTGCTGTTTCTGTTTTACCCTCATCCTAAACCAAGATACCTGGAATCCCAGGCTTGCTGGAGTGACAAGACCTGCCTGTGGTCGGGTGTTGTGTGCCAGGCACAGTTCCAAGCCCTTGACAGTTCATGAGTTTCTCAAGCACAGGCCTGGAATAGTTCTTGGCACATAAGCTTAAACAAAACAAAACCAAACAAAACAAAAACAAGTTGGGCGTGGTGGCACATTCCTGGAATTCCAGTTACAGGGAGGGCAGGAGCATCCCTTGAGCGCAGGAGTTCCAGGCTGCAGTGAGGACCTACTGTGACCACACCACTGCACTCCAGCCTGGGCGACAGAGCTAAACTCTGGCTCAAAAAAAAAACAGGGTCAGTTTTTTTGAATCCTCATGGTGATCCCCATCCCACAGATGAGGAAACTGAGGCACAGAGACTTCTTGCTCAAGTTCCAAGAGGAGGGCCTCATGGAGCTCATGAAAATGAAAGCAGATCCCCTCCTCTTTTGGGTATCAGGAGCCTTGCTTTCCTGTCTGTCTGTTTCAACTTTCTCCTTTTTCACCAAATAAAGTAACAGTAACTGACAGCTCTAAGGGGCTCACATGGGCCAGCGGTGAAGCTCTAAGTCTGCACCGGGACACTCAGGACAGCTTTCCAAGGGTGATACTATTGTCACCAACCCTTTTACAGATGAGGAAAGGAGGGGCCCAGAGGAGGCCACCCAGGCCTCCTCCCTTCCCAGTCCCCTCCGAGCTCCCTTTCCAATATACCCCTCCCTCTCCCTCAGGGCGTTGTGACCCCAAGATTGGGGGTCGTTACTCCAGGAGATCTCTGTTCCCTTCCTGCCCTGCAGCCCCTCCCCCCAAGTGCCTCCCCCGACCCCACCCCCATCATTGCACTGCCCCTCCTTTTGTCCCCAGGGAATCTGCTATGGAGGGAATCCCCCTCCCTCCCAGGCCTGCCCACTCTGCCGACTTCCCTGATTCTCCTACCAAGTCTCCGCCTTTCATTCAGCCTCCTCAAAACCCCTGCTCACCAAGCACTCGGAGCCAGATATCCACGCTCCTTTTGCCCTGCGGGAAGATGAAGAACACGCAGGTGTAGCTGCCTTCATCCTCGACGCGCAACCCGAACATCCTCAATGAGGCATCCCGCAGCTCCGTGCCCAGCCTGGCGGCCACGAATTCCACCCGTTTGGGCTCCGAATAGTGGGAGCCCTGCGTTTGGTGGAAGACGGCCATGCTGCCGGATTCACCATGCCGTGACCAAGTCAGCTGTGACACGTGTGTCTCCTCCATGCCGGGCACCTGTAGGTAGCAGGGCAGCGTCACGGAGTCGCCCAAGAAGCCGGGCACCTGGGTGGGCGCCTGCACGACGATGTCCCCTGCAGAGAACCGAAGAGAAGGTGTCAGACCCGGGCGTTCCTGGGTTAGATAGGGAGGGGCTCCAGAAGCCCGGGCACCTGGGCGTGCAATTGCATGCTGGGGCCCTGGAGCCCTGGTGGACGGTGGGGTGTGGGGGAAGGGGGGACTGGGGCACTAGTTGGGGTCATGGTAAGGGCATCTGGGATGCTCTGCAACTTGGCCTTGCTCCTTCACTTTGGCTATTTATTACCATATTTCTTCTATTATTACCGTATTTCCCTCAATCTCAACATCATTGATTTTAAAAATTGTGGTAAATATGTGGTTAAAAACTAAATTTACCATTTAAGCCATTTAAAGCATACAGTTCAGTGGCACTACGTACATTTCACGATGTTGTGCAACTGTCACCACTATATAGCTCCAGACTTTTTCTTTTCTTTTTTTTGAGACGGAGTCTCGCTCTATCGCCGAGGTGGAGTGCAGTGGCACGATCTCTGCTCATTGCAAGCTCTGCCTCCGGAGTTCAAGCGGTTCTCCTGCCTCAGCTTTCTGTGTAGCTGGGATGACAGGCTCCCACCACCACACCCGGCTAATTTTTTATATATTTTTAGCAGAGATGAGGTTTCACCACGTTGGCCAGGCTGGTCTTGAACTCTTGACCTCAAGTGTTCCTCCCGCTTCGGCCTCCCAAAGTGCTGGGATTACAGGTGTGAGCCACTGCACCTGGCCCAGAACTTTTTCATCACACCGGTGTCTTAGCTTTCACATACCATGACTGTCATCATTTATAGCACAATTGCCATTAGGGGTTAGAATATCCCCAATGTAGAAAATGGGGAGAAATCCTGAGTCTTCAAATCCATGAAAAGCTATATGATTACTCCAGGTAGGTCCTGGCTGGAAGAATGTGGGGGATCGTGGCACAAGAGGAAGGCAATTACAGTGAGGCTTCAGGCCAGTTACTTAACCTGTCTGATTCTTTTTCCTAGTTTGTAAAATGAGACTTAGAACAGTGCACACTCACAGGGTGCTGACAAAGATCAGGGGCTATTCTGGGTGCTTCACATATATCTTGGCATTTAATCCTCAAATAGCCGCCCTGAGGCCAGCACTACTGTTAACATCATTTTACAGACAGGGAAACTGACACAGAGTATAGCGTCCTCCAAGTCATATAGAGGTTTAGTGGCAGAGTCCTATATAAAAATCTTTCTGCTAAGGGCCCTAGCACATAGTAGGTCCTCAACATGTGTCAGCGCTTACTGACGCTAATAAACATAGTCCTATGTATTCTTTCCTATTTTTAAATTTTTATTTAGTTAATTATTTTTGTAGAGATGGGGTCTTGCCATGTTGCCCAGGCTGGTTTTGAATTCCTAAGCTCAAGTGATCCTCCCACCTCAGCCTCCCAAAGTGTTGGGATTACAGGCATGAGCCACTGTGTTTGGCTGCAATCAGCCTGGGCAGCATAGCGAAACCCTATCTCTACCAAAAATATAAAAAAATTAGCCAGGTGTGGTGGTGAGCACCTATAATCCCAGCTACTCCAGAAGCCACAGTGAGGATAGCTTGAGCCTGGGAAGTCCAGGTTGCAGTGAGCCCGGATTGTGCCACTGCACTCCAGCCTGGGCAACAGAGCAAGACCTTGTCTCTGTCTCTCACACACACACATACACGCACATACATATACTATATATATACGTATATATACACACACACACATATACACACAAAATATATAAATAATAAAATAAATATTTCCTCATTAAATGTATAATAAAATATATATTATTTATTATATAAATGTTATAAATATATAATATATTTAATATATAAGAAATATACTGTATATTATATATTATTATTATATAATACATAATATATAATACATATTATTATAATATATAATAATAATATATAATATATATATTCATCAGGAGTTTGAGACCAGCCTGGCCAACATGGTGAAATCCTGTCTACTAAAAACACAAAAATATTAGCCAGGCATGGTGGCACATGTCTGTAATCGGAGCTACTCGGGAGACTGAAGCAGGAGAATCGCTTGAACCCGGGAGGAGGAGGCTGCAGTGAGCCAAGATCAGGACACTGCACTCCAGCCTGGGTGATGGAGTGAGGCTGTCTCAAAAAAAAGAATGAAAGAATGAATGAATGGCCAGTTCCCTGGAGTCAGACATTGGGGGTCAGAGGGGTAATTGTGTCAAGTGTCACCCACTGTCCGCCTCCCCAACTTCAACCATCTTCTCTGTCCAGACCCAGCCCGCCAGCAGGCTGCTGGGTTATGGCCTGGGTGTGCTGAGCAGGGACCTGGGTAAGGTAATCCCGCATGAGTCACCATCTGCTGATTTTCCGAGATTCTCTTGCCTTTTTGGGAAATGTCCGCACTCAACTCCATCCCCTTTCCGAGGGGCCCAGAGGAGGGTCTTGTGCCTACCCCATGTTGCTGCCAATTTCGAGGAAGTTCTAAACCCAACTCCGACCGCTCTCCGAATGGCTACGAGGAGGGTCCTGCCCTCGCCCGGTGTTCCTTCAAAACCCCGGGGCAGAGATAAGGGGGTGGGTGGCGCCGGGCGGCGCCGTCATCTTCGGGGACCCAGGGGGCCAAGTACCCGGCCTGCATGCGGAGCTGGGAGCGAGAGAGGGGCCGCCGGACTGCGCCGTGGTCACTCACCGGTTCCTGGGGGTGGCCAGGACAGCGCCAGTAGCGCCAGTAGCAGCGGAGGCCATGCGGCGGCCATGTGAGTTGCCCCGGGCTGCTGGGCCTCCTGCGGGCGTCTCCTTCTTGCTTCCTGGCGCCGCTCGCTCTGCTGCGGCCGCTGCGAGTCCAGCTCCCGGAGCTCAGGTCCTGGAATCCCCGGGGGGCCGCTCCGTCAGTGCCTGGGGTGGGAAGGGGAATACCCACTTCTTCAAGTTCCAGACCAGTGAGCCGAGGGGAGTTGGCGGCGAGTCCCCTCAGGCGCGGGGGCGTCACCCAGGCTGCGCCCCGCCACGCCCCGGCGCGTCTGCGCCTGCGCAGGTCTCTACCGGCTCTCAGTCCCGCTACAGACGCGCGCTCGCTCCCTCAGTGCGCACTAGAAGAGGCGGCTTCCCGTGTGAGGACGCCCACATCCCAGGTGAGGAAACGGAGGCACGCGGAGAGATTCAGCAACTTACTAACGGCTCGCGGTTGCCGAGTGGCAGAGCTGAGGTTCCAACTACTCGTGATGGGACAGATCCTGAGCCCACCAGGCTATCCTTCCCCTCAGCCTAAACCCATGGGCTTTGGGGTCAGACAAGACCTGGGCTCATGTTGGGCAAGTGGTTTCTCCTCGAGGGCCCTCAGATTCTTTATCGGTAAAATGGGCATGGTAGGACGCGGTGGCTCAGGCCTGAAATTCCAGCACTTTGGGAGGTTGAGGCGGAAGGACTGTGTGAGCCCAGGAGTTAGAGGTTGCGGTGAGCCATCCTCGCGCCCCCGCACTACAGCTTGGGTGACAGAGCCAGACCTGTCTCAAAACAAAACAAAACAAAACAAAACAAAAAGGTTGGGGGCTGGGGCGCAGGCGCAGTGGCTGACCCCTGTAATCGCAGCACTTTGGGAGGCCGAGCGAGGCAGGAGGATCAACTGAGGTCAGGAGTTCAAGGCCAGCCTGGCCAACATGACACAAACCCATCTTTACTAAAAATACAAAAATTAGCTGGCATGGTGGCACATGCCTGTAATCCCAGCTACTAGGGAGTCTGAGACAGGAAAATCACTTGAACCTGGGAGGTGGAGGTTGCAGTGAGCCAAGATCGGGCCTCTGCACTCCAGCCTGGGTGACAGAGCGAGACTCTGTCAAAAAAGAAAGAAAGAAAGAAAAAAGGGCATACAGCATGGTCTGTAAAGCTTAAACAAGGAACTGCTTAGCTCAATTTCGGGGATATAGTGTATAATAAATAAAAAGCAGATATACCAATAATAGCAGCAGTGGCAGTGACAATTATTGTTATTGTTGCTTTACAGTTGCCATCAAATAATAATGTTCATGAGAATGGTAATTTATTCATTCTTCACTCAACGTATATTTATTGAGCCAGTCAGTATCCCAGGCGCTGGGGATACAGCAGAAAATAAGACAGACAAAAATCTCTGCCTTTAATGAAGACCGTGTTCTAGTGGAGGGAAACAGACCATAAACAGATTAATACCAGAACTCCAGCAGGTCTGGGGGAGATAAGGGTTATAGACCAACCTGCAGTAGGGAGAGGAGAGGAGGGAGGGAAGGAGGGGGAGAGAGAGAGAGGAAGGGAAGGAGTGAGAGTGAGAGAGAGAGAGGGAGGGAGGGAGGAAGAAGGGAGAGAGCAAGAGGGAGGGAGAAAGAGAGATAAACAGAGAGACACACTCAGAGATAAGGGCTGGGAGACAGAAAGATTGAAAGAGACACAGCATAGACAGAGCGAGATGAGAGAGAAATGAGAGGTGAGAGATTCAGAGAGCCAAATCCTAAGAGATAGAACCTGAGAGACTTCCTGGTCCCCATAGGTGTCTGTCCTGGCCAGGGTCTCTGTGAGGCCGACTAATAGCTCTGGTCCCTGTTCTCTGACATCCTTACATCCTTTTTATTTTTATGTTTTTTTAGACAGGGTCTCACTATTTCACTGAGGCTGGAGTGCAGTGGCGCCATCATTGCTCATTGCAGCCTCCACCTCCTGGGCTCAACTCCACCTCAGCCTCCTAGGTAGTTGGGACCATGGGCATATGCGAACACGCCCAGCTAGTTTTTAAATTTATTGTAAAGACAGGGTCTCGCTATGTTACTCAGGCTGGTCTTGAATTCCTAGCCTAGAGCAATCCTCCCACCTTAGCCTCCCAAAGTGCTGGGGTTGCAGGCATGAGCCACTGTGCCCAGCCCCACATTATTATATTTTTCTGTAAAATCCCTCTTATGGCTTTTGCTTGGCTTGGAGGTTTCTATCCCTGGGTGCCCTCTCTAACTTAGATCTGATGCTTGTGTATGACACATCTGATGCTTGGGGTCTCTCACCCTGGATGTATGTAGGTGAATTTCTATGGAAACATGGAGGCTGGTCTCTTGGAAATCTCTGAATTTTCTGTGACTCTTGTTCTGCTGAGTTGTTTCCAAATTGGGAATCTGTGGCCATTGTTATGTTCCTTCTCTGGACGATGCCATCACCATCTGGGTTTCCCCCACCTCTCTGGACTCCCCAGCTCCTGTCTCCAGGGCCTCCTCTCAGGGCCCTGGAGGGTCAGAGGCTGCTCTGAAGAAGCAGGCTTAGAAGAAAAAGCAAGTTTGGTTCAGGGCATATCTGCTTGCTTCTGTGTGTTTCTCTGTCAAGAGTCTAAATTCCTTGAGTGTTTGGACCAGACATTTTCTTCACTCAAGTGCTGAAATATCATCTGAAAAAATAGTGAATGGAGATCTCCAATGGGCATCCTATTTTTGTGTGTGTTTGTTTGTTTGTTTTGAGACAGAGTCTCGCTCTGTCTTCCAGGCTGGAGTGCAATGGGGTGATCTCGGTTCACAGCAGCCTCCACCTCCCAGGCTCAAGTGATTCTTGCGCCTCAGCCTCCCTAGTAGCTGGGATTACAGACCTGCACCACCATACCCAGCTAATTTTTTTGTGTTTTTAGTAGAGATGGGGTTTCACCATGTTGACCAGACTGAGCTTAGGTGATCCATCTTCCTCAGCCTCCCAAAGTGCTGGGATTATAGGTGTGAGCCACCATGCCCAATGGACATCTTCTTGATGCCGTGGTTTTCAAACTTCTGGATCCAAAAGTATCATCAAGAAGCTTGTATAATTAAACAAATATGAATCCATTTCCTTAATCTTCCCTCTCCCAATAAAAAATAAAATGGTGGCATTTTTCTCTTTCTGTTTTTCACTTAGCAACATATCTTGATGATTTTCCCATAGGCAGATATATTGAACTACCTCATTCATTCATTCGTTCATTCATTCATTTACAAATGTGTAGTATTCCATTACATGAATGCACCATCATTTTTGAAACTGTCTTCCAGAGATGGGCTTTTTTGGGTGTTTCCAGCCCTTTGTACTTGCAAACTGTGCTTCCCTGGATCATCAGGTCCATGGCATTTCCCATGTATGTGATGTATCTGTCATATTTATTCCCAGAAGCTGATTTCCTGGGCCAAAAGGCATGCACATTTGTGGTCTAGAGGATATTGCCAAATTGCTGTCCCACAACCACGCCAGCAAAGTAAGGGCGTGGAGTGGCTTCTACCCAGGAATGCTCATGGCAGTCAGGGAAGGTTTAAAAATTTCAGATATGCCCCCACCCCCCGCATCTCTACAAAAATTTTAAAAAAATTAGCCAGGCATGGTGGCACATGCCTATAGTCCTAGCTACTTGGGAGGCTGAGGCTGGAGGATCGCTCAAGCCCAGGAGTTTGAGGCTGCAGTGAGCCATGATTGTGCCACTGTACTCCAGCCTGGGTGACAGAGTGGACTCTGTCCACCCCAAAAAAGAAAATGTCAGATGTGAAGCTTTGTTCAGAAGGGTGTGATGTAGGAGGCCTGGGAGCAGGGGGAGAAAGAGAAAGACATGGAGAGCAAGAAGAGGAGATGGGGAACGAGGGCTCCAGAGACTCCCTTGGTTCAAATTCTGCTTCCACCAATTGGTAGCTGGGAATCCTAAGCAACCGGTATTGCTTCTCTTGCCTCTTTTTTCTCATCCACAAAATAGGAGCTCATGAAAACTTGTGGTGTTAGTTAAATAAGTTATTTAGAAACAAGTTATATGTGGCTGGGCGTGGTGGCTCATGCCTGTAATCCCAGCACTTTGGGAGGCTGAGGTGGGTGGATCATTTTGAAGGGGGCCTGCCCCTCCACCCCTGTGGGTATTTCTCCCAAGGTAGAGATGAGAGACTGAGAAAAGAAATAAGGCACAGAGACAAAATATAGAGGAAGAAAGGTGGGCCCAGGTGACCGGCGCTCAGCAAGGGAGGACCTGCACCGGCACTGGTCTCTGAGTTTCCTCAGTATTTATTGATCACTTTCCCTACTATCTTGGCGAGGGGCATGTGGCAGGACTATAGGGTAATGGTGGGGAGGGGGTCAGCAGGAAAGCCTGTGAGCAAAGGACTCTGTGTCATAAGGCCAGGCTGGTCTTGAACTTCTGACCTCAAATGTGTGGGGGAAAGAAAGAGATCAGACTGTTACTGTGTCTACGCAGAAAAAGGAAGACATAAGAAACCCCATTTTGATCTGTACGAAGAAAAATTCTTCCGCCTTGAGATGCTGTTAATCCGTAACCCTAGCCCCAACCCTGTGCTCGCAGAAACATGAGCTGTATTGACTCAAGGTTTAATGGATTTAGGACTGTGCAGGATGTGCTTTGGTAAAAACGTGTTTGCAGGGAGTATGCTTGGTAAAAGTCGCCACCATTCTCCAGTCTTGAGTACCCAGGGACACAATGCACTGTGGAAGGCTGCAGGGATCTCTGCCCAAGAAAGCCTGGGTATTGTCCAAGGTTTCCCCCCACTGAGACAGCCTGAGATATGGCCTCGTGGGAAGAGAAAGACCTTACCACCCCCCAGCCCAACACCGGTAATGGGTTCGTGCTGAGGAGGATTAATGAAAGAGGAAGGCCTCTTTTCAGTTGAGATAAGAGGAAGGCATCTGTCTCCTGCTCCTCCCTGGGAATGGAATGTCTTGGTATAAAACCTGATCACACATTCTATTTACTGAGATAGGAGAAAACCACCTTATGACTGGAGGTGAGACATGCTGGCAGCAATACTGCTCTTTACTGCACTGAGATGATTGTGTAAAGTCACACATAAATCTGGCCTACGTGCACATCCAGGCACAACACCTTTCCTTAAACTTATAACATGATGAAACCCTGTCTGTACTAAAAACACAAAAATTAGCGGGTGGTAGTGGCGCGCACCTGGAATCCCAGCTACTTGGTAGG